CTGAGAATTGAACCCAGTGCCTCACCCAGGCTAGGCAAGCGCTCTGCCACTGAGCCACAACCCCAGCCACTGAGTGATTTTTTTCAAGGTGTCACTCATATATACCAAGTCATTACTTCCCATCTCACTCAAAAAAAAAAAAAATCCCAAATATTTTTCCTGATCTACTGGGCCTCGTGCAATCCACAGTTCTCCCCGTTCCCTCCCAGCCCTCAGCCTTGACAGGCCTCTCTGAGGCTCTTCCATGTGCTCCACTTTGCTCACTGCACTCCAGTCAGAACATGTAAGCACGCTCCCAACTCAAGGCCTTTGCACTGACTGATCTGTCTCCCCGAATTGCCTTTCCCCAGAGATACACATGATACACTCCCTCTGGTTATCAGAGAAACTTTTTCTGACCCGCCTGTCAACATAGCATGCCCACCCCCACCATCTTCTGCCACCTTATTCTGCTTTTTTATTTTGCTTCCTAGCACTCCTTACCACCAAATATATTACAGAGTCACTAGGTCATGTAGTTGTCGCTGCTCACCAGGATGCAAGCTCCTGAGGACTAGGGCTTTGCCTCCAGTCACTTAAGTATCCCTAACGCCTTGTACAGTGCCCGGCACAAAGCAGATGGTGCTTAGCGGACATACACTGAATACAGGGCAAGCAGGGAGGTGCCTGGTGACAGTGCACACTGTGGTGCTGAAGAAGGGAAGAGGACAGCTCTGACTCAGTGGCTGACCAGTGACGCTCTGCTACCGGCAGATGCACCAAAATACCTGCAAAGTCCTCCCCCCACCTCTTTTTTGCTGGGGATTGAACGCAGGGCCTTGCACATTGCTAGTCAAGCACTCTACCTCTGAGCTGCACCCCAGCCTCCAAAGTCCCTTTTTTCTTGAAGAAATCTAAAACCAAGGTCATTTGTGAAATATATGATATGACTCAATAGTTGGTGTTCAGAGACTGCGGGAAAGTCCCCCACAAGAGGGACGAGGACCTCAAAGGACCAACCCAGGTGGAACATGAGGAGGCTGTGCTGCGTCACTGACTGTGGCTGCGGGCTGGCATGTGCAGGGGCAGCCTGGCATGGAGAAGAGAGCACTAGGTGTGGGGTCAGGTAACCAGATTCTAGCTCCAGCTCTGTCACTTCAGAGCTCCTGGGCAAGTCACCTCCCCTGTTTGGATCTATTTCCTACCTAAAAATTTGGGCTATACCTGGCTTATCTAGCTCATAGAACCATTTAATGAATTCATGAAAAGACATCTGCAAAAGCACAGCCCGACTTGGAAAAGTGCAAAAAGCAAACCTGAGCTGCCGTTCGGTGCCAGGCACGCAGCGGGCATGCAATGTTTACCGAGCGAACGAGCTTCCAAATTTTTCAAACGTGGAGAGGCATAAAAACTAGAGGGACAGCCAGTGCAGCTATGAGGATAGTTCTAGATCACATGTGAGGAGCTGAATATGCACTGGTGACAATCTGTGGCCTTATGCCAGAGAGTCCCTGAGAACCTTGATGCAAGAAAACCCACTGGGCCGGGCACAGTGGGGCATACCTGTAATTCCAGTGGCTTGGGAGGCTGAGACAGGAGGATTTTGAGTTCAAAGCCAGCCTCAGCAACTTAGTGAGGCCCTGAGCAACTCAATGAGACCCTGTCTCTAAATAAAATATAAAAGGGCTGGAGATGTGGCTCAGTGGTTGAGCGCCTCTGAGTTCAATCTGGGTACCAAAAAAAATAAAAGAAAAAAGACCAAAGAAAACCCACTGGGCCTCACATCCCCCAGTGCAGGACCATCCATCGTTTCTCCTCCTCTCCCTTCTTTGCACTCTGGCCATCTTTTCCACTAGGGATCCTCTGGACCCCTTCTTCCACGGCAGGCAAGCTTCCCATGGCCCACAGGCCGGCGCCTGGTCTATCAGTGGGCCCTCATTACAGCTCCACTTCCCCTGGGTCCTCTCTGACTGAGATGACTCTCTCCCACGTTTCGTGCACTCTGCATTCCACTGTATTCGGCTGCCCTCCCCTTCACCCTTGTGGATTGGCCTGCCCTCCTGAGGTCCCTGCCATAGTTCTCTTTCCTGCTCTGCCCTCCCCTGCTTCTTTCCTCCTGGCCACTCCCCTACTCATCCTCCCCAAAGCAAAGTATTTGTTCCCCAGGCATCTTCTCTACCGAATGCTGTGACATTTGGGGGATTTCAATGTCATGGGACAGCCATGTGATGACCTAACCTCTCAGCTCTTGTCATGTCAAATTAAATATCTCTCCATTCATTCCTTGTCTGCCACTCTATAAATACACTTTGAGCCTTGTCTTCCCTACTTCCCAATCTTAAACCCCAATGGCATCTGTTTCTCTCCCTGTATCCCTCTCAATGCACCTGCTCTCCCACCCCCTCAAGCCCTCATCTCCTTTCCCCACATCATCAGTTCTTTCATTCCCCATCTCCTCTATCAGCCAAGATTTCATGTTCCAGGCCCCCCACTATTTTTTTGGTACTAGGGATTGAACCCAGGGGCGCTCAACCACTGAGCCACATCCCCAGCCCTTTTAATTTTTTATTTAGAGTCAGGGTCTTGCTAAGTTGCTTAGGGCCTTGCTAAGTTGCTGAGGCTGATTTTGAACTTGCAATACTCCAGCCTCAGCCTCCCAAGCTGCTGGCATTGAAGACATGCACCACTGAGCCCGGCATGTTCCAGCCCTTTGAATGCTGTGTGACCCAAATCCCTAACTTCTCTGCTACTCTTGACCTTTCAGTGATGTCCCAGCAACACTTCAGCTCTGCTCTTACCCTCCAGCTGCTGAGAACCACTGGAGGAAAAACAAACCACAACCCCTGGAGTCTGAGAAGAAGCAGCCAGATGTGCAGATATAACTTGCAGACAGACGGCGCTGGAAAAAAAAAATGAGGAAGGGGCTTGGAGGAGGAAGCACTCAGTGGCAGAAGTGGCAGGTCAGATCTGGCCACTTGTCCCTTCCATTTTAGCTCCATCTGTCCTTGGCCTTCTTCTCACTTGACACATGCCCCTTCAAGGATCTCACCCACATCCAATCTCAGTGTGGATTTCGACTCCCAGGCTCTAGCTCCAGCCCAGACCTTTACCCCAGTGACCAGATGGCCCATAGGCTCTCTTCTTGGATAGCTCCCAAAGGCGCCTGCAACTCAACAAGTCCAAAGCTGAACTACCTTCCCCCAGAAATGGCTCCTGCTCCCGTGATTCCTCAACCAGAGAACGCCTCCCTTCCTAAAGCTGTTCAGCTCCATCCTGGAGCTACTCCTTCCCTTCCTTTGTTTTCCATACCCACTTTCCCACCTAGCACTTTCGATTCTAACTCCTAAATGTCTTCTGAATTGGTCTCCTCCTTTTCATCTCTACTGCTGCAATCTAGACTGCAACAGCATCCAAAATGGGTTGACTCCAGTCCTGTCCCCGCTTCCCAATCTGCTGTCTACACTAAGCCCCTCAGGGACCTCCTCTCTCCAGTTTTCCAATAGCCTTGATCGCTTTACTCAACATGGTGAGACTTTTTATGATCTGGCCTCTGCCCACCTGTCCGTCCCCAAAGGTGCAGGATGCAGTAGCTGGCCCCAGCTTACTGCTGTACACCCTGTGCCCTCCCAGTCCTGTTCCTGGCTAAACTGTATTCCTTCAAGATTCAGATAATTTTTTCCTCCAGAAAGTCTTGGCCAACTCCCCTCCCTCTCACTTTTGGCTCTCCCCAGAAGCTCCCATAGTGTCCATCACACTACTGTGTTCACCCATCACTCACATATCTGTCTCTCCCCTAGACGGTGAGAAGCAGGGGGACAGCTGGTTCATTCTGATAGCACTTCATTAGTATTCCATAAATATTTGTTACATGAATAAATGCATGAATATATAAATTCATGAAGTGCAAGGCCAGCTCTTTGCCAAACAACGCTTCATGGATTTCTTCTCCATCTCCTTTGATTGGCAATAATTATAAAAATGAGCTGTGTGCAGTGGAGCATGCCTTACTCCCAGTGGCTTGGGAGGATGAAGCAGGAGGATCTGGAGTTCAAAGCCAGCTTCAGCAACTTAGCAAGGCCCTGAGCAACTTAATGAGACCCTGTCTCTAAATAAAATATAAAAAAGGGCTGGGGAGTGGCTCAGTGGTTAAGTGACCTTGGCTTCAATCCCTGGTACACCTCCCCCTACCAAAAAAAAAATATATATATATATATATATATATGATATCATGCCAGGTCCTATTTCAAGTATTTTACATATATTAACTCATTTAATCCTCCAAAACCTATACTCTCATTATCTCCATTTTTTATTGGTGACAAATACTGCTAAGAAAGTGGCAGAACCAGGCTTTGCTCTCCTCTGTGCTTTTTTTTTTTTTTTTTTGGTGGGGGTACTAGGATTGAACTCAGAAGCACTGGACCACTGAGCCACATCCCCAGCCCTATTTTGTTTTATTTAGAGACAGGGTCTCATTGAATTGCTTAGCACCTTACTTTTGCTGAGGCTCGCTTTAAACTCGTGATTCTCCTTCCTCAGCCTCCCAAGCCGCAGGGATTACAGGTGTACATCCAAGGGCTCCTCTGTTTTGTTTTTTAAATAACTTCATTTTTCTTTTTTTAAATGTGGTTCTGAGTATCAAACCCAGTGCCTCATACATGCAAGGCAAGCCCTCTACCACTGAGCCACAACCCCAGCACGCCTCTGAGCTTTTAACTACAGCAATCACTGCCTCTTGAGAGCATGTTTAAGGAAAATAAAACAAAATTAATATCAGCCTGGGCAAAATATCATTCTGAAAACAAATCCCAAACGAACGAAAATTAGCCACTTGGAGAATCCTCTCTTCCTTTTGGCATACCTGTGACTCCTGCAATCAAGGCAGATAACTGCACGCATGGCAGCCTGTGTGAGTACCACTAGGCATGGCCCCGTCTGGCTCCCCCAGGTCCCAAGGCCACTCAGCAGGTGGCTCTTGTCCCTAAGTCGCACCCTGAGGTGCTCCTCTTGCCCCACCTTACCTTGTCCCCTATGCCCTCGGCTTCCTCCGCCAGGAGGTACACATTGCTGCCATCCGCCAGCAGCAGGGCGGTGTCGGTGGTGGAGGAGGAGCGGGGACGGCACTGGTGCTGGTGCAGGATGGCGGCCAGGCTGCTGTCCTGGGGGGCCTTGCGCAGCAGGTGGGGGCTGCCCCGCTGGGGCTCCAGGGAGCTGCTCTTGGTGCGCCGGCTGCTGCCCCCGCCGCTGCCGCCCCCTCCGCTGCTGTGCAGGCTGGCACCGCGCTTGATGGAGGGCCGCGAGCGGATCTGCTGCAGCACGCGGTTGAAGGCGGTGGGCCGCGCGGGCAGGTCGTGCAGGGACATGGCGTAGGAGACGCGGTGCATCTCTGGGGAGCGCTCCTTCTCGTCCGGGGAGTCATGGTCAGACATGCCCTGCTGTGGCGGCTGCTGCTGGGAATCCTGAGACGCCTGATGCTCCCTCTCCCGCGACCGGCGGCGGCTGTGGAACAAGTGCTTCAGTCCGTGGCCAAACATGGAGCCCTCGGAGAGCTGCTGGATTTTCTTAAGGGGAAAGAGATGAAGAAGCCTGGTGAGTGGAAAGCTCCTGAATGCCTATTCGGTGGGCGATGAAGGTGGAGGCTCTGCCCTTGGAAGACCCGCGTATCTCCTACAGGAGTTGCCTAAAAAGCCACCTGTACAAAGTTGCAATCTTGAACCACTTTTTCATTCCCAAAGAAACAGCCCCACAGGATAGGTTCAGGGTTTTTATGAATGATGCTCTAGGGCTGCATTCTGAGGCTTATGGGTACACACAAGTAGCACTTGGCTCCAGAGTTGCATTCCTCCAGGCCGATCTCCCCCCCCCCCAGTGCCTCCCTCCTTCCAAGTTAGATCCTGCTTCAAGTGCAGGAGGTTCTTTCAGATCACCAAGCATCCATTTCCAAAGATGTCTCATTGTGACACTCCTTGGAAAAATCAGAGTCATATAAGCAGGTTATACTGCTGTAGCAGGCAGAGCTAACTGTCCACCCAATTTCCCTTTCTTTCTTACCAGCTAAACTTCAAGGCCTTACTGTGCCTCACTAAAAACCTCTGCTTCATCTGACTCCCTTGCAGCTGGCACAGTTTGGGCCAATGAAAAGCAGAGTGAAGTTTCCTGGAAACACTTCCGCTTTCCTGATAAAGGCACGGGCCCTTCCTACTTTGTTCTATCTGGAATGTGGGGGGTAATATCTGGGGATGCAGCAATCATATTGCAACCACAAAGTGACACAGTTAGTGATGAAGGTTAATACACAAATGGTGAAGCCCAAAAGACGGATCTGGGGACTTGGTGGCCTGTGGAGCCACCAAACGGGTCATGAATGCCTACCCTGAAATTCTTTTTATATGAAATAAACAAACTTACCTTTTCCTACTTGTCTTTAGCTCCAGTTTCTGCTATATGTGGCCAATTTAATTCCTGATGTAGTTGGCAATGAAATAAACTTTACTTTTATGAGCCTATCATATAGCATAGCCAGTAATGTGAGCAATTCTTCAGTATACACATAGAAACCTGCTAGACAAATAAATGAGGATTTTTCCTGTAGACTGGAGGAAAGCAAAGATGCCCTGGGGTCCAGTGCTGCCCTGGCCCAGCCCTCCATTCTAGTGTTCTGCTGAGATTCCCCAGCTGCCCCTCAGGCCGCACTGCTGGGAGATGGGCCACTGGATGGACCCAGGGTGCAGCAGCTGTGGTATAATTCCAGACAGCTGATTATTGTCATCAGCCTCAGCAACTTATTGAGGTCCTAAGCAACTCCTTGCCTATCTGGCCAGGCAAGGCCAAGCCCTCTGCAAAAGCTTCAGAGCTGCAGGAAGAAGAGTGGGACTCAGGAGATGAGATGAGACCCCACACTCCTAACTCCTAAGAGGGAACCCCAGAACCAGCCACGTGGGCTTACTAAGTCAGAGTAGGTTTTCACCTTGGAGGAACTACCATCATCTCAAGGCCACGATCCTTCATAAAAAATTCCCCCCAAATTACACAAATTAGCTTTCCTTTATTCTTTTCTTCTCCCCTTATCCCCGCTCCCAGAAACAAACTCAGAGAGCAGAAAACTTAGATGATGCAGAAATCAAGGAAAAAAAGTCATTTTATGCTGAGCAAAATGGTACACACCTGTAATCCCATTTACTAGGGAGGTTGAGGCAGGAGGATCGCACATTTGAGGACAGCCTTAGCAATTTAACAAGAACCTATCTCAAGATAAAAAACAGAAAGGGCTGAGGATGTGGCTCAGTGGTAGATCAATCCTCAGTACTACAAAAGAAAAAAAATTATCTGTTTTCTGAATTAGCTGATGGTACTCTTTCATTACTTTACACCTTAGTGCTGAGTTTGTGGAAGTAGCACACCTACTTCTCATTCAAATAACTGGGTCCGGTTTTCATTTTTCTTCTCATTGCATCTCCCTGCAATCTTCAAAGTGGGTGAGGCCCTGACATCACCATTTCACAGGCCAGCTACGCCCTTCCCACCTCACCACCTCACCACGAGCTGAGGGTCTGCTGTGTCCCAGGTACCTTTTCTCCAGCATGATTTCATTTGATTTCCCCACATGCCAATAAAAGCAACGAACTGCAGCATTTCCACCTACAGATGGAAACATTATTACTTCTCGAAGACCTCTGTTTGGGGGCAGTCCTGGAGATGGAAGGTGGCATGGTACCAGGTTTCCCATAGGAGTCACCATCCCCTCACAGCCAGCCTGAATCTGGTCTGGGCAGAACCATGGCACCCAAGGTAGAGTGGACAGTGGAGCACACACTGCCAGGAGCTCGGATAGGCCAGATCCTGTGCTGTCCAGACCGGGATGAGCTAGCGCACCACTCTGGTTCTCAGGCCCACGCTGATGCAAGGCCGCCCTCCAGGCATCCCAGATGGGGCCAGCTGGCTCTGGCCTTTGCCCAGTTGCTTCTGCCAAATGGTCACATTACATATTACAAACTGTCTTTCTAGCATTTCATTGCCGATCCCTTTCTCCTGTCCTCATTCCAAAACTGGCTTCTCCAACACCGAGACTGCTGTGCTCTCTCCCTCAGGGAGAGCATTTCCCTTCACAAGCAAGGCCCCCAGGCACATCCTTTTCCTCATCCTGGGAATCTGGTGGAGGTCCCAGGGAGAAATGCTGGGGCCATCCCTGTTTGCCATTTGCCTTCGACCCTATAATCCTTGGCCAATTTATTTTTAAAACAAATTATCAGAGTCAGGTGTGGTGGTACACACTTGTAATCCCAACAGTTTGGGAGGCTGATGCAGGAGGATCTCGAGTTCAAAGTCAGCCTCAGCAACTTATTGAGGTCCTAAGCAATTCAGTGAGACCCTGTCTCTAAATAAAACACAAAAAAGTCTGGGGAGGGGCTGGGGTTATGGCTGAGTGGAAGAGCACTTGCCTAGCATGTGTGAGGCACGGGGTTCAATTCTCAGCACCACATATTAAATAAAATAAAGGTCCATTCAACTACTAATATATATATATATTTTTTTAAGACTGGGGATGTGGCTCAGTGGTTAAGCACCCTGGGTTCAATCTCAGGTACCAAAAAAATAAAATACAATAAAAAATAAATAAATTTTCATTTGGGCATGGTGGCGCACACCTGTAATCCCAGTGACTTGGGAGGCTGAGGCAGGAGGATCACGAATTCAAAGCCAGCTCAGCAAAAGTGAGGCTCTAAGCAACTCAGTGAGGCCCTGTCTCTAAATAAAAATACAAAAAATAGGGCTGGGGATGTGGCTTAGTAGTTGAGTGCCCCTGAGTTCAATCCCCAGTACTCCCCAAATAAAAATAAAATAAATTATCAAAAGTGTTTTCCAACTTGTGCTGCCCTTCTAGCCTGACACTGACCTCATCTCAGGAGCTGGAAATGTTACAGACCATGGTATTGAGACCTCCATGAAAAACAGCTCCCCTTAAGAGAGCAAAAACTCTGAGGGAGGAACCAGACAGTTAGCCCTCCTGCCCTCTAAAAGGGCAGATGGGCTCCAGGGACCCAACTCATAGCTTATCAGCTATTAAGAGCGAGGTGTGTGGCTTCCTTATCCACACTGGACCTTATCAGCTTCAGAGACCAAGTGCATCATTAGGGTGTTATCGCCAGGACTCTCCAAGGACAAACAACACAAAGGATAAAACTACTTGAGTCACCAAAACAGCAAATTCCCAGGATCCTTAACGTTTTATTTGCCATGTATGTTCTCTTCCATTTCCTGTCTGTGTTCTCGTTCTCTCTCTCTCTCTCTCTCTCTCTCTCTCTCTCTCTCTCTCTCTCGATACTAGTGATTGAACCCAAGAATGCTCCATCATTGAGCTTCATCCCTGGCCCCTTTTTTTAAAATTTTGAGACAGGGTCTCACTAAATTGCTGAAGCTAGCCTCAAACTCCTGCCTCAGCCTCCCTAGTACCTGGAGTTATAGGCGTGCACCACTGAGCCCAGTTCTATATGTTCTCTTAACAGCTGCAGCAAATCATTTTATCACAGGATAAAGATGTTTATGCAGGACACGACATCAATATGGGAGATGGAACACTTTGGTGTTAGAGATGACTGGCTGACTATCCCTCCCTCAAGATTTAAGTTCTCATCCAAGTAAAGAAAAACACCTTTTAAAATGCAACCAATGCCAATATCATACTAAGCAAAGTCAGCCAATCCCCCCAAACCAAAAGACGAATGTTCTTTCTGATAAGTGGATGCTGACCCATAATGGGGGCGGGGCATGAGGAGAATGGAGGAACTCTGATTGGGCAAAGGGGAGGGAGGAAGGTGGGGCATAGGGGCATGGGGGATAGGAAGATGGTGGAATGAGATGAACATCATTACCCTGCATGTATGACTGCACGTGTGTGTGTGTGGTGCAACTCTATATCGTTACAACCAGAGAATGAAAAGTTGTGCTCCATTTGTGTACAATGAATCAAAATGAATTCTGCTCTCATGTATAACTAATTAGAACACATAAAAAAAAGTTTTTTAAAAAAGGCACCCAATGCCAACTTAGATTCCTAAACTCTAGCCCACCACCCTTTCACACAAATGCAACTAACTCTCTCCTTTGAGAGAGAATAATAGCTCTTTCCTTTGTCCAGAGAGCCAGTGTGACTCCCTCTTGGTCAGTGCTGCCTCACCCTTCAGCTCAAACAAGAAAGCTCAATAAAGGGTTGTGTTCCCTGAGGGCTGAGGGTGTGGCTCAGTGGTAGGGTGCTTTGCCTAGCATGTGTGAGGCACTGGATTCGATTCTCACCACATATAAATAATTAAAATAAAGGTCCATTGTCACCTAAAAAAATATTAAAGAAAAAAAAGTTAGTTGTGTTCCCACTGGGCTCATTGGCACACACCTGTAATCCCAGTGGCTCCAGAGGCTGAGGCAGGAGGCTCTTGAGTTCAAAGCCAGCCTCAGCCAAATCGAGGCACTAAGCAACTCAGTGAGACCCTATCTCTAAATAAAATACAAAATAGGACTGGGAAGTGGCTCAGTGGTTCAATCCCGGTACCAAAAAAAAAAAAAAACA